GAAGCTCCCGAGGGGTTATAATAGGAATGAGGTGTGCATATCTCTAGGGCAGCTTGGAAACCATCAGCCTGGCTGTTGGGGTGGGGGGGGGGGGACGTTTAAATAACGCTTTCATTCATATATTTTCCTGTTGGTTCTCTCAGCCTGGGCTATTGGGAGCTGGAGGGGGTGAGGGAAGGCGGGGAGCAGTGGAGTGAGGGGCACAGAGTGTATTAGGGACAAGGTAAGGTTGCGGGCTGGTCTCTTCTCACAGTGCGGTTCGTCAGTGTCTGCATTTGTGTGTCAGAGAGCCTCAGAGAGGCAGCTCAGGGGAGGAGTAATTAATTTCACAGCTCTCCCCGCTGTGAAGCTGGCGGGGCTGGAGCTGTAGAACTCCAGCCCCGCCAGCGGAGAGTTTGCCCTTAGCCAGCGAGGGCAGGTTTTTGTCTGAGCTCAGCCCGGCTTTCCCGCACTGTGTCTGTCGCACAGTGATACCGGGCGGTGTCCTCGGATTTCAGGCCGGTCATTTGCAGATACAGCAGGTTGTTGGGGTTGTCCCTGGAGATGGTGAAGCGTCCCTTGAAGGGCTGTGCGTAGTTGATGGTAGTTGAAGTTGGGTGTATTTCCCCGATCCACTCCAGTCCCTTCCCAGGGGCCTGTCTGACCCAGCTCATCCAGTAGCTGCTGAAGGTGAAGCCGGAGGCTTTGCAGGAGAGGCGGAGAGAGTCTCCGGGCTTTTTCACATCCCCTCCGGACTCCACCAACTGCACCTGGGACCGGGCACCTGGGAATAGAAACATAATGAAATTATCATTAGTATTAAGAGCAACAAGAGACTGTTCCCCTGCCCCGCCAATGGGTGTGAGGGGAGGAAATACCTTCCAAAGCCCCTGCAAGGAACACTAACTGGAGCCAAAATCTCATTTTCCCTGGTGCTGGAGGGGAAAGTTCTCAGGGGACTGGCTGGTCACTGCACAGACCCAGGGGGCTGCGGATTGTCTCTCCGGGTGCAGCCTGGGCAGAGGGAGGCTCAGATTTAAACAGAAAACTGTCCCCCTAGTTTGCATATCCCGCCCCTTATAACACACACAAACTCCTTCCC